TGTTGGTGCTTACGGACCAAGTAACTAAGGGCTCCAAATGGTTGATCCTAAGAGACGAAGCCAGGCATCCACACAGAGATCTGTCTACTCCTTCTGTATCAGACATGGGGGTGGGCCCCCAGGCTTTTGGCTGGTTTGCCAAGGACAACTCACTTGTGCTAAATAGTAGGCTTAGTTCATGCAAACAAGAACAGGAAGCCAAAAATGACTGACTAGATTAGTGTGGTCCAGCAGAGGCAGCATCATCACAAGGGACAAAATGGTAGCTGCACTCATACAGATCTGCTTGCTGTGTTCCTTGTGGGGCTGGTAGGGAGTGATGTGTGTGTGGGGGGGGGGGCTTCCTGTATTTTTGTGTTTCCGTTTATATGTGTAAATGTCCTTAAATAACCCACCTTGCAGGGAGAAGAAAGCTAAGTGTCACACCCAGTTCTGGATTCCACATTAACAACCTCCTTCCGTTCAGTGTTAAACTTTGCCCTTGAGGCCTTTTGTTTAACTTTTTAATTTGAAAAACAGATTTTGCCTTCCCAGTCTGTCCTGCTCTCCACAGCACCCCTCCCTCACCCCCCACCACCAAGTGAAATATAACTCAGACCTATTTCCTTTCTGTTTTTAAAATGTTATGTCCTGCCCTCCAAGTAGAAAGAGAAAGTGTAAAGGGCTCTATAAGGTGTTTGTATGAGTTAGAACATTGGTTGTTGACAAGGGGCTGAGGCCTTGTTTCCCATCTTCAGTAGACTCAGGACCAACTCCATTTTGTAATTGCTCACAACGAGGCACAAGAGAAGAAACAGTCTGCCACTCTCGCGGTGCCTGCTGCCGTCTCGGCCCCTCTTGTTTAGGATGCAGTGGGACGGAGGCTGTTTATGGTTCGTAAATCCTGACTACTGTGAACATTCCAGAATCCCCACAGAATGGGACTGGAACTTTCATGGAGCTGTAAATTAAGGGGCGGGACGTGTGATAAAACTCCTCAGAGAGCTGTGCTGCAATGGTTAAATGAAATTTTATAAGCCCGTTCAGCGCAGGGCTGTTTTGCATTACATGAGTTGAATACCTTAGAGACGCCACATCTGCAGGCACTTTATTAAATACTGACTCAGCACTTTCCAACCTGATGAGATTACTTCTCCATCTGACCGGCTGGAAGGAAAGCTGAGCTCTTGTCTTGGACTGCAGATTTCTTTTGATGTTTCACCTTGAACACCGAAAGAGGACTGGTTCCCTCCCACCCCTGGTACATCCCAAACCATGGACACTGAGAATGTAACTGGCTAATTTTCTGTAACTGGAGCCTTTGTGGGAGTGTGGATTTATGGGCCACCAAATCAACTGTAGTTGAATGTTCTTGCAGGAAAAAAAAAAAAAATAGATCAAAGCCCAGTGTTTACTTCCTCAATGTAAATGTATCAAGATAACATCCTCTGATGCTGTACTATAATATTGCCACTCGCTGCAGATAAGGGACAGAGACTCCTTTGTAGTCGCCTGGATACACTAGGGTAGATTAAGGAACTATAAAGTATGGAGGACGAAGCCACATGAAACGCAAGTGGAGTCCAATCTGACAGTGATTTTTTGACTCTCCACAGATGACTCTTGTTTCATTGTGCCAGCACCCCCAATGCTTTGATCCAACCCAGGAATTTACCTGTCTCAGTCTCCTTCTCTGTTTTGTTTTGTTTTTCTGTCCCAAGAAGGAAGATGCAGAATTATTCTGTAGTGAACATTCTCAAACTTGCAATGTTTTCTAAACAGCGGAAATTAAAGGAAAATATCATAAGAAAAATGGCCTCTCCTGGTATTGCCTTAGCCACCTGATGTGATAGTGGTTCGTGGGAGTTTATAGAAATTCGGGGCACCTAAGTGGGTGAGCGTACACTCATCGCCATTACCAGTGTCTTCAACTACAAACTGATGGTTAGAAAGATTGGCAAAGCAGATGAATGTCTTATTGTTCCAACTGTTTCTCTGCTGTATTTCTGCAGATTGTTTACGAAGAAAGCTCATTCAAAAAATAGAAAGAAAGACAGGAAGGAAGAAAGAAAAAGAAAAAAATGTTCGTGTGTGGTTCCCCTAACTGACTTCCCATTCTGGAAGCCCCTGGTCAAGTAGCTGGGTTAATTGTCATGAAGATTAGTGTGATGTTGAAATAAGTACTAATGGTCAAATTACAGGAGTGAAAAGTGGAAGAATAGGTTTTGGTTTGGACCTGAAAGGGTTAATTAAGGTTTTTTTCACGGGTTATTAAAGACCCCCAACCCCTGCCTTAGGAGTCATATTGACACCCCACCACAGGGCTGCTCAGCTCCTCTATTGACATGTTGCTGGTAGGAGCACAATAGCCTTCTGTGTCTGCAAATCATTGCTAAAATCATCTCAAGGAAAAAAAAAAGTTCCCAAGCTTTAACATTAGACAAAGGCCCGAGAGTTGCAGTCTGCAGCTCAAAAACCCAGAGTCAGCAACTTCTATTGATTAAAAACTAACCTTTAAAGTAACTCTGAGAGTGTGTGGTTAGCATTTAAATTTAAACATGTCATGAGTTGATTTGTGTTACTGAATACCAACTCAGAAGGAGTAACATTCACTGCACAGGGATTTTTTTTTCCCTAACTCCGTTAAGCAGCTAAAGTATTTCATGAAATGTCAATAGGGCAAAAAGAAAAAGGGGAGGGGCCAATGCTGGGCCTCATAGTTTTCTTTCCCATGCAAATATTCACCCGGCAAAAGAAAAGTGTGGAGAGGGAAACACAATAATTAGTCCTTTGTCTAACTTTCTCAAATGCCAAAGAAAGACAGATTAATTAAATATACAACAGTGTTGGTTTTTGGAGTGGGGGTCTAGCTTGCTGGGTAGGTCATAAATTAGGCAGAATAAACACTTCAGTGTGTTTGCACTGGGCCTGCTACGTCAGAACCACTGGAAGGTTGGTGGGAGGAGAGCAGAGGGTTTCTTGCTAATGATAGTCACGTCTGGGTCTGTCTGGTTGCTAGGAGCAACCAGACATGATGTAACACCAGGATGAACTTGAACTTGGGGGACTTGAAAAGAGAACAATAGACCAGAGCAATCAATAAAGCCTATTTCAGTGAAGGGTTACAGAGCTGCTCTGGGGTAACCTTGTGGGCGAGGCACACACTGAATAGTAAGATGTGTGAAGAAACTTTTTTTTTCCTTTGCTTTGCTTTTTAACAGCAGTACAGAGCACTGCTGGTTTTTGTAGTGTCCTGAGTCCAGAAACAGTGGGACGGAAAACTGCTCCCCCTGCTGACTCACCAGGTCCCAGGCCTTGGCATCAAGAAATACTGACTGTGGCACCGAAGTCCGGAATTTCACAACTGACTTAGAGAGCATGCAAACAGTTTGAGGCTGTTGTGTGTAAGAGAGAATGTGGAGAGGGACCTGTGTCAGCTCTAAAGACAGACTAAAAACAGATGCAGTTTGGGGTCTCACTCCCTCTCTTTCTCACTCATCTTTCTTTTGTCCACTTAGATATAGGCCATGTGCGCTTGTCAGGGGCATTTCCTTTACAGGTAGAAGGAGCTTTATCCTGTTCCCCAAACACACTGTCAGAAAGATCAACTACGAGCCTACAGGATGAGTAGTTTTGTGGTTTGAGCTGAGGAAGGTTTTGTTGTTTTGTTTTTGTTGGTTTTTTTTTGTTTTGAAAGTTCCTTTGGAAATCAAAGTAGCTCCTTGTGGCCAGGAAATCTTACACCAACCTCCATGGAGCTATCATTTAGCCATTTATCCTTGGGATCAAAGGAGCCTGGACTTTCCCTAATTGAATCTCTCTGACAAGAGTGAGCCTTAGCCCTCCGGAATCAGTTCTCACTTAACCGGCTGATGCTGTCAGTGCAGAACTTAAAGCCCTTAGCTTTGCCTAGAAGCTGGTGGGCCTTCTGACTCCCAACAAAAGCTGGGCATCTTCAGGGTACGAACCTAGGGAAAAGTTGGCAAGAGTCATACATTGTTTAACTTCACTTGACAAATTAATTTTGATATTGGTCTATAGGTGGTCATTTTATTTAGCTAACTTTCTTTGTTGACGAAGAAATGCCCGCAGACATAAAAGTGGTCACATGGGTATTTATGAAAAGGACATAAGACCAGGTCCACCAGCTGAGAGACAACTCCAAAGGCATACTGAGTGGGCAGAAACACAGATAAGGACTAAGCAATGGCCTCATTTACTCCTTATACTTGATGGTACTTAATAAGGTGTAGTCTTATTCATTATATATCTCTTCAGAGATAAAAATAGGAAATTAGATATATTCAGCTGAAAGGAAGCCAGAGTTGCACCATAAACTCTCCCTCATGAGTCTGACAAAGAGAAGGGGAGAAGATCACTCTGGCTTCCCCATACCCCTGTCACTAATTTGGTGTTTCCCACAGGACTCTTCTATTTTGGCTGTCACCACCAGCTACCCAGCATGTTCACAGAATGTTGCAGTGATATGTTTAACACCTGTCTTTAGCACCTACACCTCACTGAAAAATATATTGATTAAACTATAGAAATAACTATTCACTACACCCCTAACCTCACTCTGCAGTCACTTTCCATCTAATTTGCTTCCCTTTCTTGAGCTTACCCAGTCATTGAGCTAGGTAATAGTAAGATAGCCAGGTTCCTTGCTGTCTTATAACCGCTCAGTACTAGGTTACAAAACCTGATGAAAATGCCATGTGGCCAGAAAACCTTCACTCAAGACATTGGCAAACTCCAACAAAGACAATGAGTTTAAATGTAAGAGGAATAAGACAAATTTCAGTGGCTTGGGGATTTCTATCATTTGCCATTCCTTGTCCATTTAAACCTCCAAGGCCAATTCTGATCCCATGGTTAAAAAAGCAACTTTTAAAATAGCTTTATGAAACAGGATATTTTTGTGTTTGTGCACTGAGAACCACTGTGGGCTTTTCCTCATCTTAGGCAAATCCCAGCACCACACCTGCACTTCTAATTATATTTTTCTTTTTGTCTTCCAGTCCTGGTACCTGGGATAAAAGTTACAGCATCCCACCATCCACCAGACAGACCACCTGACCCCTTCTCAACTCTGTAACATGGACGCAACCTCAACCCAGCGCAGTTACAACTTCACTGTCAGTGGAAGGGGAGAAAAACCGACTCGAATCAACTTGTACATGGAAACAGCAAGCATCATGGTCAAACAGCAAAGGCCATAACCTTTCGGGATTTTATTTTTTTTTTGTTGTTGTTGTTGTTTTTAATACCTTAGGGACTGTCGTAATTTCTCATATGGTGCTGGAAATGGTTGGGCTGTGTGACATTTGAAGTGTTTCGGTGATGGTGTGAGCATGAGGTGAAGTGGCTGGTACAGGAGGAGCCTTGCTCACTAACTTCCTGTTGTAACACACTTCCCTTTCGAGCCTGGCCTTTTCACAGTATTTCATGAATTTGCCCATGCAGGTGTGACTCTCCCTGAGCATTTAGAGGCACCTGAAGAAAGAAATCTTTTGTAGTAGCTGAGATCTGTGATCTGTAACTTACAGGACACTCAAAGGGCAATGGTTTTGGTTTTCTGTTGTTTTTTGTTTTTTTTTTTTTTTTTTTTTTTGGTTTTTTGGGTTTTTTGTTTTTGGGTTTTTTTTTTTTTGTTTGTTTTTTGTTTTTTTGTTTTTTTTCTGTAACATATTAGAAAAAGAAAATGCAGTTGCGTTGATCTTTCTTTTCGTTTGGTTTGGTTCAGCAGTTATCTATACAACACAGCCCGCAAGGACAGTGAACCCACTCATGTTGCAGAACAATTCCAAAAAGACGGCAAAGACTACTACTATCAGTTGTTTTTTTTTTTTTTTTTTTAAAGTTTTGAAATGCTGCACTTACATTTAAAAAAAAAAACATTTTTCAACAATTTCAACAATGACACAAAAATTCACATGGAAATGGGGGAGATGGTCTGTTTTAACAGAAACTGACAGGAATCAAAACAATCGAATTTCGAATTGAGTGAAGTGCAATTTCATTGGATAGCTAAGTATCTTTGTAAGATAGAGATTGTTGAAAATTCTATTTTTGTTTTTCAAGTCCTTTCACCCCAGGACTCTAAATTATTGGGGTAAAAAAACAGCCTTGCAAGAAAAAGGGGAGCTATTTTTGCTTTTTATGTTTTTTATTGTTAAACTTGTATCCCTTTAAAAAAAACTGAAGGAAAATTTAAAAAAAAAAACAAAAAAATACAAATCTAATGGTGCTTTTACCACAATATGTTAACTACATTAAATGCTAATTAATTATTTTCTGTTATCAAAGCACATAACTCAAATGAAATCATGGTATCTGTTAATTTTATAAGCTAGAAATCACTATAATGAATTATGCCAATTCTGGGAATTTTTACATGTGTATGGCAACACCAGATCTATCAGTTATCTAATGCCTCATTTTACCAGACATTGTCCAGAAGTTTCCAAGACCCTTTGCAAACCCTGAACTGGGCTATGGGAAAATTAATACTAACAACACCGAGAGGGACACAACTGCTGGTGCCCATTCAGATCAAGGGCACTCGTTAGGGAAAACGGAAAAAAAGTTCACACCCCCTCCTTCAAATGTCTTGTATCTTATGTTTAAAAAAAAAAAAAAAAAAAAAAAGAAAAAAAAAAAAAAACAAAAAAATCAAAAAAAGAACAAAAAAAGCAGAAACTAACAACAAACAAACAAACAAAAAAAAAAATGCAAGTGATTTTTTTTTCTACCAGACAGCGAAGCACCCCCTTGCTTCCCATGCAACTTCAAGGGTTCCTATACTATATATATATGTGTTCTGGTTGGTAGACCCTGCTGACCAGAGGAAGTCTCTGCATGTTCTAGTGTTAGTAACTAATTTTTATATAGCTAATGTAGGATAAAGTATTAAGACAATATTGTAACCCACTCTAGGCACTTGCCTTTAAACTGTCTCAGCCCTTCAGAAGGGCTCAACTACTGTCCTATACAATCAAGTAACTGAAATTCTTGGGAAGACACTTTGCTCCTCATCTTTACCCCTAAACGATGTTGTTTTGTTTTTATTTTTTTCCTTAATTTGCACGAAAACAAAAATTCCATATCAATGTGCCTTGCCCTGGATAGTGATTATTTGTGGAATTGTTGCACATGCTCCTCTAGTGAAGGGGTTTTCCCTACTCAAGCATTCGGAGACACTTTTTGTAAATGTAACTTTTATGTCGGCCATTGTCAGTCTCAACATCTAGATCTAAATAGAAAGTTAGCTGTTCCGCAGACAGGCGTAGTCTTGACTGTCCTGTGTGGTCCGCGGCAGTGCTGTTCTGAGCTCTGTAGATGCTTACAATATCAGTATTTGGGATGTTGCTGCATTTTTTTTCAATTTATTTGGAGTCTTCCTTTATTTTCCCCCAGATATATGAAAATATGCAATACCTGCTTATATCATGTAGAAGAGCTTAGCAGTTATTAATTTTTCTTTCTTTCTTTCTTTCTTTCTTTTTTTTTTTTTTTTTTTTTTTTTTAATTTGACCAAAGTCAGTGCTGCACTTGACGCAGTGTGTTTTTAGGTGTCTGTCTTTGTATTCTCTGTGGTTTTTGATGCACGTGCGCAGGAAGGGCTCCTCTTAGAGAAGCAGTCAAACTGTGAAGCACTAAGCTGACCCTGCTTCAAGCAATTTTGTTTTTACAACTGTTCCTTTCACAAGCAAGCCTTAAAAAAGAAAAAAAAAAAGAAAAAAAAAAGAAAAAAAAAGACAACTTCCTTTCTCTTCAGCCCCACACCCACTTTCTTAGCAGACAGCAGTCAATCCACATTCAATAAAAAGTACATAATGCCCATTTTTATATGCACGTTTTTAAACTTCCAAGTTCTGAAAATTGTTTACTGGTTATCTCTATTTAAGGAAAAAAAATAAAATAAAACATTTTGGATTTTCATATGTGTCTGATAAGTGGTTGAATAGTCGCTTGGCGCTGTGGTATGGTGTGATTGTCAGTGTACCGTGTCGCTTCCTATAGCCAGCAGCATTCTTTGCCTTCCCTATAGCACTTAGCTGGGCATTACTTTGTTATGACATATGTGCACTAAAAAAACAGAGAGAGAGAGAGAGAGAGAGGGAGAGAAAAAAAGAAAGAAAAAATAGCAGCTTTTAGTGCTTCACAGTGAAGGGGGGAAAAAAAAGCCTAGACAAACATTTTGTCAGAACCTTGCAAAATGCCAAGGTATTACCAGTAAATTGGTTGTATATACAATAAAATTGCACCCTTTTTTAAACAAAACAAACTAAGCAATAGTTTGGGCAGTTTTAGTTGTTTTTAGTGAGCATGTTGTAGTCACGACTGCAAAGAGAGAGAGTAAACTGCCCACTCAGAAGATATGTAATTTGTATCGTTGTATAGTTTTATTGATTACACTGATTTATTCTACCCTATTTTATAATGCAGGACTTTTGTAATGTTGTCTAAATGAGGAAAAATTTCTGTCAAATTAGTCTAGTGAAATTTCTGATTGTTCATTATAAAGGCAGCGTTCATAGAATTGCTTTTTGTTTCTTTTCAACCCACTTTGGGAACTGGATTTAAGTTTAAAACTTTCCTGTTTCCTTTTTGTTTGTTTGTTTTTTTTTGTAAGTATTTAAATAGTTATTTTTTCTGCCAATGGTATAGCATATTCCTATGCTTGAGAAGTGTAGGTCTACTGAAAAACCATTGCAAAATGGACGTTACAGGTGTGCTGTATTTTTGAAGGTATTTTGTTGTTTAAATTTGATGAAGCTAAAATTAGGGAACTCTGGACAGAATTGCAGGAAAAAAAATGTTTTAAAGGCTATAAACCATTGTGGAGGCAGCTTCGGGTGATAGCAAACAAGGGTTAAGTAGTGCATACACCACTGCTTTTCCAGTTCCGTTCATGCTTCATTGTCAAGAAAGTCCCAGGAAACTATAGTTTGGTCCTCATCAAGTAGGAAGAGCAAAACACCAACCAATCCATGTGTTTTGCATTTTAAGTTAAAAGCTGAGTGAAGGTGCTTGGGGAAGACTTTATTACAAGGGTGTAGAGACAGACAGACTCAAAAGCTACCAGCATTTGAAGGCCCAGCCTTGATTCTCAGAAATGTTGAATTTTTTTCTTTCCCATCAAATGGCATTAACACAATTGGCAAAGGTGGTCCCTCGAATGACTCCCCCCAATTTTTTTCCCCTTTGGGAACTAAAGCCTGAGGCATAAAAACACTAACTCAACATCTTCCAATAAACGCTCGCCCTTGGCCCCCCTCCTGGCCACTGTAGTGCTCCTTTGCTAACTTCTGGGCAGAAGCCCCCTCTGGTGCCCTTCTCCTCATCCTCCAGCCCCTTTCTTCCCACTGAGGTATGTCTCTTCAGCCCGTGGCAGGACCTCTATTAGCCCACTCCCCACCCAGTGCCACCACCACCCAGAGGGCTCCCCTAGACCCTCCAAGCTGCATTCTCCATGCTTTCCTTTTTCCTTTTCCAACAGTCCAAGTGTGCAGGATCCAAATCTCTCGTCACACTGTGCTATATTCAGTCAGCCCACAGGAATATGCAAAACCCATCTCAAAAAGTTTGTCTTTCACCTCCCCAAATCTTTATCCTCGTGTGCTTCGATCTCTATAGTGATAGATAGCATGAGGTACTTGCAAAGAAACATTTTCTCTTGTAAGCTTTTTATTTTTTGTTTTATTATTATTATTTGGTGGAGAATGGTGTTTAAGAATGTCATTTGATATTCTTTACAACAGAGCCCCTCCCCTAGTCTCTATCACTCCGTCCTTTGTCCTTTACTCCTTCTTTCTCTTCCTCTCCATGTATCTCTGTCTTTCTGGTATTTCTTTGCTTCTTTTTTTCTTTCCGGTTTCTGGTAGCAGGCCTCCATTGAACAGGTGCAAAACATGAGAAGTGTGGTCAGTGAGGAGAGCTTGGTGGTACCTCCCAGCCTACCTTCCTAGGCAGTCCCAGAGGCTGCTCCGCCCTTCGGGCATGGCTTTCATTTACATGGGCTTCAGAGGCCATTTTGTCTTGGAGTCAATGCATGCACTTACTGTTTGACAATGATCCTACTCTGCCTTCTCCACGTCCAAGGCTGTGCATTCGTCTAATTAGTGTCATGTATGTTTCCCCTTTATTTTTTCCAATAAAAAAAGCAGTGGGATGAAAATTGCTTTGATATATAGCAGGTATATTGAAGCTATTCCATAGCACTTAACCGTAGTGAATACTGTGTCACCAGTTCTGAAATCAATTTAATGTTTAATGCAAATCCATTACATGGTGCTATTACAGGCTGACAAAATGATTTACACAAACGTGACAACTTGGGCTCAATTCACTCTGCTTCCCAACAGTGTAAATGCATAGCAGTGTTTATCTGCATGAGAACTATGCACTAATCTATCTAAAGAAAAAGAAAACTATATCAACTTTGGTATCTACTTTCCGTTTACTTCAATCCTTGCCTTTTTGGTCATTGTTATAATGCCAGCTTTAGGACAGAAAGAATTATAAGAAAACCAGCATAATACCTGATATATTAAAATGTAGTGCCTGTGAAATCTGTATTATACTGCTCTTCTGAAGTAAGATTTTTCTACACCGGTAGCCTTCGCTGTCTGTCAGTCAGGACCTCTGGTATAGGTGATGTAAAATAACCTTACGATATTATGCATGCTATTCCATAATGCTTAGTGAACTGTATGACTATTACTCCAAGTTCTGTTAGTCTTTTTTTTTTTTTTTTTTTTTTTTTTTTTCTGCCTTGGTTCTTGTCAGCTAGGTTTGAGGTATTTCACTGAGAACGCGAACTCCGTCTTCCTTCCGGCTGTCTTCAGTAC